AAGGTATCTTTAAAGGAGACTAGATGAATTTCAGGAGGCCAATAGATGTTGTACAGAGTCATTCCTGAAAAGTAGGTACTACACCAGCTTGAAGAGGATTGTGAAAATGAAAAGGCTTAGCTGGCATGCTACTGTTAACAAATGGAGGTCAGTGACCATACTACCAAATAATGGGGTTACCCTTTAATCTCCAAGGTGCCTGGGTGACATGTTCTCAAGCATTCTTGAAAAAGCAGTTACCGTACATTTCCTTCTGAAGAATCCAACCACATGGCTACAGTTCCTAGGCTTACGTTAATGCTTGCCAAGGCTGGCTGTACTGGGCTCTCAATCTCTACTGGCATCAGAAGGGGAGAGTTTTTCACAAAGGCCCAATAGGTCTCTGCAATGTTGGGATTCGGCAGCAGCCACAGGGTGCACACAGCACTCAGGAACCCAAAGAGGGACCTCATTGTCCTGTGGAAAGACACAAACAGACCCCCAGGGCCCACACCAACACCGGATCGGGTCCCCTCCAAGTGCTAGTAGAAAGATCCTTTCATTGCTCCAGGGGGTGATTTGCAACAGGAGCCCTCCAATGCTTATCTGCAGCGGATACTCCAGCAGAATCCACCAATAAAAAAATTTAAATACATAAAACAAGGGAAAGAATAGAATGTGGAGAGGAGAGATGAGTCCCTAGCTCCCTCTTTTACTTTAGCAAAATATGTTTTTAAGGTACGATGGTGGCATTCTACTATAGCCTGTCCTTGAGGATTATAGGGGATACCAGTCTTATTAACAATAGAAAAGTCTTGGCAAACCCCCCAAACCAACCAACCAAACAAAACCCACTTCTCTCCCCTGTCCTTCCCACCTCTCCATTGCCTCTTCATTCGTCTTACTGGACTGGGAGCTGCTGTGTATTGCAGTAGACTCTTTTGTCCAAACAGCTTTACATGCAAATGTTTAGTGTGTAATGTGTTGTTAGTCAGTTTCAAGGCCTCTGGCTTCTGGCACAGCACCAATCCTGGGCTCTCACAGAATCTCCTCTGATAGCCTGCTGCTTTTGCCCAGAGCCATGGAGATCCTGTGGCTATGTTTCCAGGCCTTTCGCGCACTCCAGTGGATCATAGATGGGGTAGATGTTGGAGATTGCCCACTCAAAGCCCTGGATATGTCTGGTTGGTAGCTGATTTGGTCAGTCCAGGCCACTGGGACACTCCACCCCCGCCCAGGTGAGGTGCAGAGCCAGCTCTCCCACACTTGTGGTGAGGCGTGGGCAGCTTTCCCAAGTGTGGACGGAGGGGGCAGTTAACCTATGAGGGGTGGGGTCAGCTCTCCACTGAGTGGGGGCCAGCTCAGCAAGTCCCTTGTACTTCAACATATGGTTCACACATAGTTCTCATGGCCCCTGTGGTAACACAGGCCGGAGACATCAACACAGACCCCAGCTGCCGCATGACCATGGACCCAGACATGGCGATCAGCAGCAGCTTGGGCATGGATGTCACCATGGCCCCAGGTGGCAACTGCAGGCCTCTCAGATTGGCGTGGGCCCAGGAGCAACATGATCCCTGCACTCCAACCTGGCCCCAGGTGGCAGCCCAGACCCTGGACATCCTCTCAGCCTGCAATGGTAAAAGGAGCCATCAACACAGATCCAGACATGGCCTCGGGCAGCAGCTCAGCCAGGATGACACCATGGTCCTGGGTGGCAGTGCAGGACACTCAGATTGGCATGACCCCAGCAGCTGGCGTATCCCTCAGACCCCCAACACGGCCACAGGTGGTGGCCTAGAACCTGGGCAACCTTGTGGCCTTTGGTGGCAACGTGGGACATGGACATCAACACAGACCCTGGGTACACATGGCCCTGGGATGGCAAGCCTGTTCCTCAATGCGGTCACCTCTTCATATCTGCCTCTCTCCACAGGACGCAAATCTCTCTCTCTCTCTCTCTCTCTCTCTCTCTCTCTCTCTCTCTCTCTCTCTCTCTCTCTCTCTCTCCTATACCCCACTATATATAGCTCACCATAGTCGGCCCGGTGGGCCTGTGGTTTCTTATACACAGGACAATGGAGAAATGGTTCATTCCGGTGTACACTTGGGGGATAGTCCACCACGGTGGGAAGGCCCGGCAGGCAGAAGTGGAGGGCAGCTGTCACACTGCGTCTACAGTCAGGGATGGGCAGAGACAATGCTGTGCCTGGCTTGGTTTCTCCTTTTCTTGTCATCAGAGATCCCAGCCATAGAAAGAGCCACTTATGTTAAAGGTGGGTCTTCTACTTCATAACAATCAAAAGTAGCCATCACACCAAGCTGAGTTGTGTGTGTGTGTGTGTGTGTGTGTGTGTGAGAGAGAGAGAGAGAGAGGGGGGGGTGTTATGTAGCCCAGGCTTGCCTCAGTCTCCTTATGTAGCTTAGGATGGCCTTGTGACCTTGACTTCTGCATCAAACTCACAGAGACCCGCCTGCCTCTGCCTCGAAAGTTCTGGGATTGCGTACCTGTGCCATGGGACTAGCCTGGCCTCAAATTTTTGATCTTTGGTTATTTTTCTTCACATAGTTCCATAGGGACCCAGAACTGGTACATAACGAGGACTAAGGGGGGGGGTCCAGGCCCTCGATAGTCCCCTCCCAGGGTCCGGGAAGAATCTACAACCAGCTGATAATTTTTGATGATATAAAATGAATCTACGTACACGATACTCTTTAATCCATACACTGTATTAGTCTGAGTAGTTCTTTCTTTACACAGTTTATGCTCTGCTCTCATGTCTAGCTCCTTTCTTGCCTGATTTCTCCCTACATTAATCTGCTGTGCCCTCTAAGACTATCTTAATTCCTTCATCTTAGTTCTGCCCCTTCTAGGTTCTCATCCCTCTAGTTCCTTCCCATCTTAGCTCCTCTCCTATCTCCTTCTCTCTCATCTTGTTCTTCCCCATCTGGCTCTTCCTCATCTTCCATCTTGTTCCTCTAATCCTCTCTTCTAGCCCTTCAATCTAGTTCTTCTCCGTCTCAGCAGTTCTCCAGTTCTTACCCATCTAGTTTTCCATTCTCTTTTATCTTCTCCATCTTGTCCGCAAGTTCCATATCTCAAATCCTCCCCTATGCTTCCTTATTCCTCTCTGTTCCTCCAAGTCTCTCTGGTATTCAGTTAGAAACCAAGCCACAGCGATCCTCTGGCAGAGCAAGGTCACCAGACTTGAATTCTTACAGGGGTCATAAAGGCAGGTAAGAATTTTCTCAGGCAGTGGCCATTAGGCTTTCCTTTACAACCCAAATGAGTGCTAAATGATTGATTAGTCAACAAGGGAATTTGTGTGCTCAATCTACATCCCTAGAAGTGGTTAGGTAAGAAATTAGGAGTCTATTAGTAAGACTGTAAGGAAGGAGGGTCTCACCCTAAATTGTACAAGAAATAAAGCTATCCTCCTGACCTAGGAGTCAGGTGTTGTTTTGTTAGGAACTTTGAGTAGGTGGCTATAGTGTAGTGGGGTGTGTCCACCATGGTGAAAACCAGGCTTTTGCTAAGTTACTACATTCTGAGAGGGTTTTCTCTGTCTGTCACAGGGTGTTAGGTCAACCAGGTGGGCAAGAAGAGACTCCTTAGGGCTGCAGATGCCCAAGGTGAATTGAAGTCATGAAATTGTAATTAGTCAATGAGGCTTTCTGGCCATTGCTTCTCTCCAGGAATTCTTGTTCAGAGACCCCAGCAGAGGGAGATCCCGGCATGCCTAGGGGCTGGACTGGACCTGGTGAAGGTTTCTTCCAGGAGTCCAAGGTAAATCAGGAAAAAATACAATGTTTATATATGCACATGCTTTATAAATCATAAACCACCAGACCAACATTTTATCTCACTGAATCTGAAAAACCACCCATGAGGGGAGTGATTGAGCTGGTCCTGTTTCATACACGAAGAGGTTGACGTCTGGATAGAGGCTAAGTAACATATTCCGGGTCACACCTCTAAGGAGTGGTGAGCACAGAGCGAAGACACAGAGTGGAGAAAATTACCACCCCCCTCAGCGGGCAAGGAGCGTGGGAGTCACGTGGGCAACAGAGCCCTGAACACCGAGTTTATGTAGGAAAACTGAGCACCTCATTTGGGGACAGGTTGCAAGGTTAAAATGGCAGGCAGGACATCCTGGCAGGTGGTGCCATCCTCTGGGCATGCTCAGTTCCCACGTCAAGTTTTGGTTGAAAATAAAGGGGACATCAGGTGGACGTTTACACAGGAGTTTGCCTAGGGTCAGGGCACACACCGGGGCACCTCAGAAGGTCAGGTCAGGACAGAAGAGGCACACGCCGCTCACGTGTCCTCCAAAGAGCCCTCTGTCTTGGGGTTCTAGTTTGGTTTCTGTTGCTGTGATAAAACACTGACCAAAAGCAACTTGGAGAGGGAAAAGTTTATGTCATCTTACAGCTCCCAAGTCACAGGCCGTCATGGAGGAAAGCAAGGGTGGGAACCTGGCGGCAGGATCTGAACCAGAGACTGCGGGAGAGCGCTGCTTACCGGCTTGCTCCCAGGCTCCGGTTCAGGCATGTTTCTCATGCCAGGCTCATCTGCCCAGGGATGGCACCACCCACCATGGGACAGGCCCTCCTGCAGCAATCATTACCCAAGAAAATGCCCCACTGGGGCATGCCGGCAGGCAAGTCTGATGGAAGCAAACCTCCACCGAGGTCTCCTCTGCCCACGTGTGTCAAGCCGACAACCAAGATCAGCCTGGACACTCGGGGATCTCCGCTTGGTTTCCGGAGATCAAAAGGGAAACTCTCCTGGTAGCTAAGGATGCGGAATACTTAAAATATATATATTTCTCAGACATTGCTATTTTTCTTTTAGTTTATTTCCATGCCACTCTTTTTAGCTGGGTTATTTTTGTTGCTATTCAATTTTTTTAGTTAATTTATATTCTAGACCCTCTATCAAGGCGTAGCAAGTAAAGACTTTTCCTCATTCTGTAGGCTGCTTCTTCACTTGAGTGTGGTGTCCTTTGCTGTCCAGAAGTCTGGCAATGTCGTCTTACTCCAGCTAAGGTTTAAAAAGAAAGACAACAAATGTTGACGTGGATCAGGGGACAGGAAACCCCTCGTTCCTTGTTGGTGGAATGGAAATGGTGCAGCCCTGTGGAAATCAAATGTAGGGTTCCTTTAAAAGCTAGAAACAGGTCTACCATATGAACCAGCTGGAGCCTCCCTCCCGGGCTCAGTCCCAAAGGATTCTGTATTCTACTACAGAGATACTTGCTCGTCCACATTCATTGCTGCTGTGTTCAAAATGCCAGAAGATTGAAACAGCCTAATGAAAATGTGGTTCAGTGAAACGTGCAGGAGAATGGATGGAGCCAGAAATAACCAGCCTGAGTGAGGCAACCCAGACCCAGAAAGACAGATGCTGCATATTCCTCTCATATGTGGGTGATAGGTTTGAACTTCAGATATATGTGTTTCAATAGAGGAAGCTGGTAAGGGCTACAGGGGGCATTCAAGGGAAGGAGGGCAGGACACAGATGGTATGTGGGGGAGGGGAACAATGGACCAGGAAGGGATAAATGAGCTGGGGGATGGGACAACAGGATGAGGGAATATGGGGAGACATGACTAACAGTAATGACCTCTTTTGAAAAAGCAATATAGGAATTACTACATAGAAGATTTTTAAAGCGCGTGCACGTGCGCGCATGCGAGCACACACACACACACACACACACACTCATGGAGTTTAAACGGAGTTATGCTATCGTGGGGGGCAATTTCCCACTAGACACCATATGCTACCAAAATATATTTTTAAAAAAACAGCCAGTACCAGGACTGAGTTATGTCTTTTTGAATTGTTGGCCAATGGTGTTCAATATTCCAACATCACAGGCCATCGAGATCGCTTTGGTTCCCCTCCAAAACTTTATGGTATGATGCTGTTGCTGAAGGCACCATGTACTCACAGGACACAGGGAAATCAGGCTGGTGACAGCCTGGAAGCCTCATCCCTACTGATTAGCTTTCACAGTTCTGGAAGATTCTGTGTGCACTACCAGGGGAAAAGATTATTCAACAACCTTACCCAGTGGTGAGCCCCAGGACCTAGGACCTAGGATAACAAATGTCGAGATGTGCCCAGTGCAACAAATGTTATAGGAGCAGCCACATTACTTTCTGGTTGGATTTAAAGCTGACCGGACATGATGGAACTCATGACTGATATGTTTTGTTAACTGGACCAAAACCCTGTGATTGGCTAGGCCAGAGGCCACAAGGGAGAACGTGTTACTATTATTTTGCTAAGTGGACAGAGTATTAAACTGAATTCTCATGACTCATATCCGTGCATCTCTCAGTTTTCATGAGAGAAACTCCTGTTTTAGTAAATGGTGATTAATACAGAGACCCATAACGGTCAATGTATAAACGGGAGCCTGTGGAGTGCTCAGCCCTAAATGAGACAGCCTTCCCTGGTTTCAGGGTCATTGAAGAAGGGAGTAGAAGGCATGTAAGAGCAAGAAGCAGTGGCAAACCCAGCAAAACATCGTTTGCCAGGTGTGACAGGGCCCTTGTACACATGAGCTCACCACAGCTGTGCCTGTTTGCACAAGACCTATGCAAGATCCAGCCAGTGGAAAATCCCATTGTGGATGGGGAGCAGGTCATGAAGTCCCACCCTGAACTGAGGCGCTATTAGCAGCTGACGGCCGCTGAGGCAGGACAGTCAGTTTTCTGCAGGGATGTGACCCCTGAGAGGCTGCCCGTGCTCCGGTGGGTGGTCCCACGTCCACGTGCATATAGACAGCACTTAGGGGACTCTGGGTTTAAGACAAAGGAGCACATGAAATGGGGAGGGAATGGATGATGGTTTGCATGGTGCTATTCTCAATTTAAAAAGGAAAAAAAAGAAAGAAAGCTTACCTCCGCTTGGTATTTCATCCCGTTCCCTACAATGTCCTCCCTAAAAAAGCCTCAGTCGGAGACACTTCAAAAACGGGGTTTGTGGGAAGGCTGGGGGCCCCCAGCATGCAGGGCGGAAAGGCAACATTTCTGTACAGCAGGTCCCCCCAGCCTGCTGCAGCCACCCCAGCTGGCGTGAATTGTCTGAAAGAAGGAAGGCTGGTGAGTCAGGCAGGAAGGCTGGTGGAGGGGAGAGGGCGCCCCCTCTGCTCCCTGACAGCCCAGGCTGAGGTGCACAAGGACAGGCCCCCTTGGGTAGGGCCTGGGAAACACACTTTCTCTGCTGCTGCTCTCTGTATCAGGTCTGCCCTGTTCTGGCAACTAAAGGGGAAAGCGTTCACCCTGGAGTCTGGCCGGCTTTGGGAGGAAAGTGAATGAACAAAGGGAAAATCATTGCCAATTCCTGAGGCCCTGTGCTCACAGGAATAAATAGCGATACAGTGGGAAAGCAGACCTTGTCACCACACCCTCCATCTAAGCAGGGGAGGGCGTGACAGAAAGCGGCTGAGTCTTTTGTTCATCTAGATGAGTGAGCAGGACATGGCCCAGATGAAGGACACACAGGATGCTTCAAACGCAGTGTGTGTGTTGTGTGTGTGTGTGTGGGGGGGGTACTCAGGCAGTCTTGCGTTTTCACTGCAGCAGAGGGAAGGTACATTTTTATGAACTTGGTCTCTTTGACGGTGTCCGATGAGCTGTAGGACCCCAGGAGGCTGATATTCAGAGAAGTCGAGTGACTTGGCCAGGAGTGCACAGCTTGGAACCAGGCAGTCAGGACTCTGACCTGGTTGGACTCCCTGTTCAGTGCCCTTTCCAGGTTCCTGGATAATACCTAGGCAAAGAGGGCAGACAGACACCTTGCCATTCAAGGGACAACAGGCAGATACTAATTCCCATAGTTATTTCCCTCGAAGGCTTTCTTCATCTCAGACTTTAATGGCGATATCACCTGCTGTCTCCAAGGAGGGGGCCAAAGCCCAGGAATGGAGACAACGCACCTCTCACATCCCAGGTCCTCAAGAGTGACAGGTACAAGCTTCTACCAGGGAAGCCCGTGCGGGAGGATGAGGGTTGCAGAAGCTGGGTCCTCTCGCCCTCAAATGTAGCCGGAAGTTTTCCTGTGTCCTGAAGCTGCTCAGTCCCAAGTAAACACAGAGACTTGTATTAATTACAAACTGTTTGGTCTATGGCTCAGGCTTCTTGCTAGCTAGCTCTTACATCTTCAATGAACCCATTTCTATTGACCTATGTTTGCCATGTGGCTGTGGCGTTACCAATCTGCTGACATGTTGCTCCCTGGGCTGTGGGCTCCTGTGTCCTCTGACTCTGCCCTCTTCTCCCTGTGTCTCTCTTGGATTTCCCACCTGGCTCTTATCCTACCTTACCATAAGCCAAAACAGCTTCTTTAGTAACCAGTCACAGAGTACAGAAAGACCGTCCCACAGCACTCAAATGTGGGGGCAGTAGCACCCAAGAGACTACGTGTTCATAAACTTCACCGAGAAAGGAAGCTGTGTTCTGCTCCCCAATGTGATCACAGCCCAGGGGTTTGTGGAACTTGGTGTAGAGAAGAGGCAACCTCAGGGCGGCCCTGCAGAAGCAAGGACAGAAAGATCTTTATGGACCAAGAGTAAAACTCAAAAGAAAAGCGTAGCATCTTCAGGACACAACTGAGTGAAACCTGGTGACCCCAGAGAGCATGACACTTTCTCTGCTGGCCCATCACCACTCCAACTCAAGTCCTGGAACTGAGACCAGCACCCAACACAGAGCCACGTTCTCTCTCTCTCTCTCTCTCTCTCTCTCTCTCTCTCTCTCTCTCTCTCTCTCAGTGTGTGTGTGTGTGTGTGTGTGCGCGTGTGTGCGTGTGCTGTGTACAATATCAGCAGTGTACACAACCTCAGAGTCTTTGTTGGATTGCTCCTTTTATTTTTTGCAAGTGTTTCTTACTCAACCTGAAGCTCTGCTGTTTTATACAGAGTGTTTGGCTTCAAGGATCCTTCCATGTCTGTGCCCATCTCCCCAGGCTGTGGTTACAGGTCCACACAGGCAATGATACCTCCTAGCCTTGTACTGTTTGTTTGTTTGTTTGTTTGTTTGTTTATGTTTGAACAGGGTCTCACTATGCAGCCCTGGCTGGCCTGGGGCTCACTGTGCTGATCTCTGTATCCCAAGTGCTGAGACCAAAGGTGTGTACCACCACACCTGGCAGCTGTGGGTCCTTGGGTCTGAATTCAGGTCCTCAGGGTTTGTGGCAAGCATTTTACTCAGAGTCATATCCCAAGCTTGTAAGTGATCTTTTGGGCCATATGTCTATATGTCATATCCATAGCTACATATATTTCAGAAAGGATCAAATCACAGTGATGCCATTGCTCAGTGTGACGTCAGCAGCTCACAAAGCTGTGACCCAGTGTCTGTCATCCAGGGAAGAAGGGTTGGAAATGGAAACAAAACTCAGTACTAGTTAGACATGCATTCTCCCCATCTGCTCCGAGTCACATGCTGGGTTTGTCCCCTAGCTAGGCTGTCTTCAGGGGAGGGTGCATGGTCCTGTCTCAGCCAAGGAGAGTCTGGGGTGACCCACAGCATGCTGCTCCCCTCCCTGTGATAGCTTTGCTGCTGTGGCAAAGGCTCTGAGGTCACTCCACTCAAAAGGGGGAAAGCCAGGCTGAGGAACGGCTCAGGGGGCAAAGCGCTGTGGCAGCACAGTGGTCGGACTTCAGGTTTCCAGAGCCCACACGGGAAGCTGGCTGTGGTGGGTGGACCTGTAATTCCAATGCTGGGGGGGAAAAACAGGACACCCCGGGGGCTCACTCGCCAGTCAATCCAGTTCAGACGGTGTTCCAAGTTCAGTGAGAGTCCCCTTCTCAGAAAAATAATGTAAAAAAGCAATAGAGGAAAATACTGGACAACTTCTGGACTTTGAATGTGCACAAACATGTGAGTGTGCCTACACACACACACACACACACACACACACACACACACACACTAAATGTTCTTTTGAGAGAGGAAGATTTACTTTGGCTCATGGTTTTGTGGGCTTCTATCCTTGGTCGGTGCTTTTGATCCTGCAAGGGGACAGCACATTGTGACAAGAACATGAAATGGAGCAGCTACTCACTTTATGGTGGCCGGAACACAAATAGAAAGGCATTCCACACTCCTTATTGAGGACATGCCAAGGCCTCCCTGTGAGTCCCTCCTCTAAAAGGTTTCACCACCTGTGGTGGTATGAAAGAAAATGGCCCCCCCAGAGGGAGTGGCACTATTAGGAGGTGTGGCCTTGTTGGAGGAAGTGTGTCACTGTGGGGGCGGGCTTTGAGGTCTCTTTCTCAAGCTTCACTCAGTGTGACAGTCAGTTGACTTCCTGCTGCCTCTGAGTCAAGATGTAGCACTCTCAGCTCCAGCACCTCATCTGCTTGCCTGCTGCCATGCTCCTTTCATGATGATACTGGACTGAACTCTGAAACTGTAAGGGAGCCACCCCAATTACATGGTTTCCTTTATAAGAGTTGCCATGGTCATGGTGTCTCTTCACAGAAATAAAACCCTCCCAGCAGTAATGAGCTGGCATCTAGACCTTTGTTTGACACATGGGTCTTTGCAGGATAACTAAGACCCACCAAAGCATCCTCAGTTTGGGGATGGAGCATGCTTGAATGTAAGGAAGCTTGTTCTCCCCTTGAGGGTGACCCAGTTAAAGTCATAAGCCATCTGCCACTGAGCACACACAGGGTCCAAGGAGTCCACACCTTGGCCTTTAGGATGGGAACGTGACACTCTAGGCTTCTCACTGGTGGAAAGCAAGCAGGATGGGAAGTCTGGCCACTGGTCACTGAGAGGAAGCCAGGAACTCTCTGGTAAAGAGATTCAGGCTCCCTGCTCTTGCGCGATACCTGAGGTATGATGATAGTCGCCTAGAGAGGAAAGGTGACTTGGCTTGTGAAGCCTCAGGACAAATCAGTTCCTGAAACTGTGCTGAGACGTCACAAGGTGCTAGATGGATCCATGAGCACAGTGGGGTGATTTAGATACTTAAGGGAAATCAGAAAATTCTCTCAAATGTGATATAAATGTATTCACTTAAAATAGGACATGGTGCCAGCATGAGATTGTGACCTTGTATCTTTGTGAAGCTGGGTTTCAGATTTGTCACTATGATAAAAACAAAAGGTGTTCCAAAGAAGATCAATGTGGAATAAAAACAGCAAAGGCTGTGAAGGACTTAGCGTTTGTGCCCCACCCCACAGCGGCACACACTCCCCTGCTAAGAAACTGTGGCCACTGCAGGATGGTTGGTGTTTGTTTGGATACAAACATGTGCTTGATGAGTTTGTGAGATCACTGACTTGGACTGTAGGCTGACTCTGGGTACAAAGTTCTGCAAACACCATGAAAACAGGGGGGAGGAAGTCTGCAATGGAGACGCCGAGGACGCGCCTTTCTCCCCCCAAACCCGAAGAGAGAGCACCCGGCCCAGGGCTGCAGGAAGCTGTGGCCACAGCAGGCGGGAGATCAGGTGAAGTCCAGAAATGATCAAGTTTAGATTTACAAAGGAAACAGCAGCCCCAAGCTTAGGGTGCAGAACAAAGTGTGAGGAGAGCCACTCCTCAGGCTCCTGGGCACCACGGTTTCCATCACGTCACCCTGATGCACCCTAGACCCCATTAAAATGCGAGGGTCAGACTTTCTCTGAATACTCATTTATTCCTGCATCACCAGGAGGAGGCTAAGAGGAGCTGATGCCGCTGAAGTGAGGAGGGACACGCTCCCTGGAGGAAGATGACCGGCAGCAGCTAAGAACTTCCATCTCTCCTCTCCATCCAGGGCAGCTTGCTGAGGGTGGCCCACACCACAGGGTGTGTCTTTTGTCCCTTCATGGACGCCTTACTGTTACTGGACTGAGGGGTCACAGCCTGTGTCCCCAGGGGTGGCCACCTGGTCCCAATAAGCCAAAGAAGCTAATTTAATAGTGAAAAGCAGGAAAAGAGTTATCCAATGTGGCCACATTGGGAAGAGGGACAAGTAGCTCCTGTTACCTGCCCCTAGTCCGACTTCCTTATGTGCTGTGTTTAAAAAGATTGAATAGCTTCTAGGACATTGGTGAATAAATACGAGGCTGCTTGAATCTGAGTCTCAGACTCAGATGGTCACAAGTATTTCCCTGACTGGGCTATCACCCCAGCAATCTTTAAAACAAAAGGCTCGACTTGACTTCTTACTTGCAGTTCCGAGATGACAGAGCAGGCTGGCGCTTCAAAGTAAGCTTTAGCTAAAGCTGTCAGAGCTGCCAAGTGTGGTGCACACTACAAGCCCAGCACTCACATGACCATGATCCGAGTCTTCCCTGGGTTGCACAGAAAGACCCTGTCTCAAACAAAGCAACCAACCAAAGTCAAATTCGAGCCTTAGCAGCTTACCTGTTTACACGGTTTGAGTATTAATATGTCAATCAGGGTGCCCAAACATTTAATTATGTGAAGGTAGAACAATCTCCCATTCTATTTTGTGGGTTTGAATGCGATGTTCCCCTGCCGAGTCTCACACTCTTGAGTCTTTGGTCCCCAGTTGGCGGCTGTTTGAGGAGGATTAAGAGCTGTGGCCTTGCTGGAAGAAGTGTGTTTGAGGTTTTAAAGGGCTCATGCCATTCCCAGTGTGCTCTCGACTTCCTGCTTGCAGTTTGAGATGTGAGCTCTCGGCTGTGCCTGCCACCAGTGCCTTCCTCCCGGCATCACGGACTCTAACCCTGTGGAACCACAAACCAGTAAGTGTTTTCTTTCATGGTGCTTTACCACGGCAATAGAAAAGTAACCAATACACACCA